ACCCTTTATTGGGGACTTGCGTATGACTCTGTGCAGTATTGATTTTTAAGAATAAACGGTACAGTGTTAGTTGTACTATCTGAATATACAACTGCTCATTGCCAAAGCAAAAATAGGCAAGAGAAAACACAACAGCCGTTTTATTCCTACAGAGCAACAGCTGCTGTTTTCTGCCCAGGATGACAGATAAATTTACAAGCACACGAGTAAATTATTTTCCAATACAGTGCTCTCCTGTTATTTGCATGGACGATTTGTCAGGGAATTTTATTCCTATAACAGGTTTAGTCCAATAACCTTAGGAGAGTCCACACGACCGACAGGGAGGGGAGGTCAGTTGGTTATGGATGATACTGGGCTGGGGCCAATTGAAACAACCACAAACATGATGTTATTGGTATTTATATACTCACTTTCACCCACAACTACATACATGTACCATATTCTAATCTTCAAGTCGCATTCAGAAACTTGTAATGAACAGGGCTAACATGGAGATAGAAGATCAGACACATTCCACCTTCATACTGTGTACCCCTGTGTTGGGAAAAAGCTTACCAAGGCTAAAACAACAGCCCAATCAAGGACACCAAAAAGGAACAAAGGACTTCTTCACACAATCATCATTGGGTGATTGGGGGTTCTCACCTGTCCAGAAGGAAGTGACAACAGAGAAAGTGTATGACAATGGAGGGTGCAGGGGTGATAATGAATGAATAACAATGGACTTCATGCGGATTTGCTGATGCGCAACAAATTACATGTATTTCTTTCACGTACTTCTGGGTCAGTGTGCCATTGACTTGGAAATATTTTAGTCCAATATCAGGTTAAAGTCATAACAGCTCATGCAATTATGCCATGCAATTTATAATGTAGTGAATGGGAAATGGTTTGGGTTTTCAGAATTTTATGCAGATCCCAGGTTTATGCCAATATCAGTGATGCAAATAGTTGGTGAGCACTGTATTTGCACGGACAACGATTTCCCCTCTAGCCTGGACATTTTCCTTCCAGGTCTTTCTAAACAAGCTTGTTCCTATGGTTCCTATAGTTGTGATGAAAAAAATTTAAGTAGACTTGTGATCTTTATCTTTGCCCTCTGAATACACAGTTCTGAAAAGATGCCTTACGGATGCTTTTCCATAAACACAAGTAACCTGAGGGGAACAGGCTTCCAGTGTTGTAATATCTCCCACCTGACTGGTCCTGAGGTTGAGATGGAATGCATTACTCTAGCACAGCCAATTCCAAGAAGTCAAAAACAAGGGGAGTGCGACTCTACCTCCTCTTCGTGCTTCCGAATGACATATTCCACAATTGAACCTTGCCGCCGAGGACTTCTCGTGCTCATCAATCCCTGCCAGCTCTCCAGAGGTAGGCCAAATTTCCACCGCCCAAAGAATGGCTACAAAACTACTGACGTTTTTCCGCTGGCTGAATGGGCTCCGCGGACGTACATACATATATACGATCCCCCTATTTCCCCTTTTACGGGTGCCGAAGGGAAGGCCCGTGATTGGTAGATTTGAATTAGCAATGGGGAGACACGGTTGGTCGGAAGGGTCGGTTGCTAAACCCCCATCAAAGTGCCAGGTGCCTCAGCTATGATGGAGGAATCACGAGCTGTGTGTTAGTCCTACACTGATGAACACATCCTATTATAAGCCTGCCCCTTGGTGCCTTTCTGCTGTGGGGCCTTTCACACATTGCCAATATCCCACGCATAATAGCAGTGTTGTGCCCACCATTACCCTGTGCTTAGCTGACACAATGGAACTAGAAGGTTTGTTTCCATATGTCAAGGCCAGTGACCCTAATATCCTATCAGAGCATCTACCTACACTATCGCCATCATCAACCATCACTAACTTTATTACACAGCTATTAATAAAGAATTCATGTGTCACAATGAATATCATCACAGGCGGATAGTCATTAAAAATTCAATCAGCTTCGGCGGCAAGCAAAATCTCACATCAGGCAGACCCTAATAGGAGTGTGCGAATTTGTAGTACGTTGGAGATGTACAGTTTGATAATGTCTACTTTTTTTGGGCGGTGAACATAGATAAGCAGTCGATGGGCTCTAGTCTCTCATTAACATTAACATTGCTATTGAGATGTGATCCAGGATTTTTTTTAATTTGCTGTTGTAACCATAGTTTCTTCAGGGCAGATGCCATCATTAATACCAGCATTATTCCAGTGTCATGAGGCTGGGGTAATGTTCTACAAAAGAACACAGCTCTTGCTTCATACAATCTTTTTCTACAATACACTTCGTAATCACACTAGTCAAAACCATGTGTGCAATATTGTTATCTTCCAAAAAGTACTGCTTTGGGCAAACGAATTGTTGGTAAAATTGGCCATTATGTCTCCAAATTTATGTTTGGGGTATATCGATTTTGGGGCAAGTCAATTTCCTATGCACACGGATAGACAGCTCATTATTTTCTGCAATGCAGCCGTGCCTTTTGGCATAAATATTTACAAGATCTGGTCTGTTGCAGTGGTGGTGTTGGAGGTATCCATACAGATGGGAGGTTTAGGGACGTTGACAGTGTGGTCTGCTTTAGTGACAACAGATAGCTACAAAATAGTCACAGATATCCGAAAATGATGCTGGAGGTAGTGTCAGCTAGGTCATGTTACAGGACCATTCGGATTTAGCCATTGGGCCGTATTGACTATGTGATTATCACAATCGATGTATTTTCATGGCACAAAAAAAAGATGGTGCCCCAAATCTATGGTAATCATGAATTGTTCTGTGCTAAGGTTTGAGTACCGACATCACACACACACATGTACATGTACACCTATAGCTGTATGCATCCTGTGGTTCCACTGAACTGGTTTGAGTTATACTTTAATACTACCCTCCATATCGACACTGTAAGTAAGCCCAAGAGGCCACTGCAGGATTGGATATTGGTAATCCACCCAAGCATTACACAGCCTACTGGAGGGTCCATTTCTTAGCATCAACGCACCATCATTTTTCATCCATCCTCAGGCCACACCAATTTAATTTCTTGGTTAGGCCACACCAATTTAATTTCTTGGTTAGGCCACACCAATTTAATTTCTTGGTTAGGCCACACCAATTTAATTTCTTGGTTAACGGATTTTTCTAGAAAAATAATGGAGCGGGCGGGCAAAAAAATAAATAAAGATAAAAACAGGCCTAGGCATCATATTATGGCCCAAAATGGTACGATAGGAGCCATGAAGTCAACACACCAGGCTGGTTCAAAATTTTAATCAATGAATTTTGAACTTTTAATGATACAACTACATTGAAAGATGGAATAACTGTAACGACTAGGAAGAAAAGGACTTTTCAACTGTTCAGGGCAAAATATGAGCATTTTGCAGTTGATTCTGGATTTTTTTTTTTTTTTGGCAAATCAGAAAAAAATGAAGCGTTAACCAAGAAATTAAATTGGTGTGGCCTCACACACACAGCAGATTCCCATACACTGCTGCAACCATTCCAGAGTGAAATAACTCGCTCCAGGCCATTCTGGGAACAGGATATTAGGGTCTGAGCAGAGATCAAAACGCTGTGTTCCTTCTAGATCGATATTCGTAATCCTTTTCTGGAGGAAATGTGTACAGGTAACTCCACTGTGGGCTAAAGCACCCTTCTAGATTCAGAGTAATGTAAGGAGAGGCTAGACTGCTATAAGAATGTACTGGTGTGGATTTGGATGCAGGAAATTGGAGGCAGGACTGGTCAGTCAACCAACAAATTAAATGGGAAAACATGACTGTAGGCTGCTGGTAGATGGTGTGCTGAAAGTCCTTTGACTATTACCTATCTCAATGTGTAAACAGTTAAATATATCTACACATGTATGAGCTTACTAACAATTTTCTATCTACAATCTGTCATTGTTGCATCCTGTGATGTTATACCAGGGAGTATTTTCTTTGATGATAGCAAGATATTTGATTACACAAGTTCCCTTCTGTACGTTATGTTTGATGCAATCTAATTTTTGGGCTGCCAATCATCCACACTCATTCATAACCTGATTAAGAGATAGTGCCATAACTGACAATCAAAAACAAATGCATATAAGAAGAGGATCTATTCAAATAAGAGGCAATGTACTCTGATATTTGACAAACATCTGGTGATGGTACAATAATATCCACATACAAGGAAAAATATTTCATGCAAAAGTTTTTGTAAACCCTTTTCCTAGGAGCTCTGCCAACTCAAACCCGAATCTTTCTTTCAGATTTACTGCTTTGAGTACATAACTGCTGACCCTGAAAATTCCATGGAAATTGGAAAGTCGCCTCCTTTCTGACAGACCAAATCAGTTACTTGCACTTCAGAGGGAACGTGGCAGGGTGTGGAATAGATAAGACCCAGGAAAGGGCAGGAATGACACAAAACAAATGGGGTAGGTCCACAAATGTTACCTAAGAGATGAATGACTTCTGTAAAGTGGAAATTTTATCTATGGTCACAGCCACCTACTCTTTGAGTCTAAATTCTATTACTACATTTTGCATCTACAGCAGCTACAACTATGAGAGGTTTTGATAGGATGCTACATATAGCATCATTAAAATTTCTTCTCCTGTGGTAGTCATAGGTAATAAGATATTCTTTAGTTCTGTAAACCATTCTCAACTAAAGTATATCATATATAACAACAATTTGCTTCAGTTGAGTTGCCAGGAATCTACCTGGTATTTCCTACAAGTACTACCTTACTTTGTTCATTTTCTGCCATTTCTAAATAGTACTAACACTTCTTCTCCTGTGATAGTCAGAGATGATCAACTATTTTTTCTCAACTAAAGCATATCTTATTAACAATTCTTTGCTCCAGTTAAGTTGCCAGTATCTACCTGTCATTTCCTACTACCTTACTTCGTTCATTTTCTTCCATTTTTAAATAGTATTACTGTAACAATATTCCTTATTTCATAGACAGCAGTTTAGGCATCAACATGACAGTTTTATCTGCTCACCTTGTTCTTGTGTCCGTCTGCGAGAATCTCCACCTCCAGCCGATGCTGAGTGGTCAGTTTGCCCATCTCTGCCTGTCGGACAATCTGAAACTCATCTTCCTGCAGCTTCAGCTCAGCAGCATGGTCATCCTAGAACAGGTGGTTAAGATAAAGGTTTATTCATTAAAAAAAAAAAGCACATAGCAGCCATATGCTGCATTGCATGTTTCTGTACACATGGTGATTTTAAAAAGTATAAATACACGCTAGGTATTTAGAAAATTTCAATGTTCTTCAAAGGTTAACAGTTTTGGCAAGAATTGGATGATGAAAAGGATTGGGTATGCATAAGTTTTGTTGTCACAGAAACTGGTTATACAGGGATATCTTATTATTATAGATGGTTGAAATTAAAAGAAAAATATAAAAATACAGCCTTGTAGTTGTATCTACATTGTTGGAATTGTTATACATGTATATCCTTTTGATTTTGAAACTTAAATGTGAGTCTGAGTTGAAATATTTCCCTTTTGACCTAACTTGTCCCCATGATAGAATTTGCCTCCATAAATGTACATCAATATTCATTAACAACCGTGAAGAGCTGTTGGGAAATGTACTTCATACTTGACATGCTAGGAGGCTCTGCCAGGCTACCTTACTACAGTAAAATGAATGTGTTACCTTGAGTTTGTTGATGTGGTCTTTGTGGGAGGCAATGGCATTGTGGATATCATTCTGCAGTCTCTCCAGATCCAGCTTTTGAGCATCTGTAAAGTGCAAAACAACATACATTTGTTAGAGTTCTGTTGAAAGGCTGACTAAAGAACATTCACAGTGACACTTCTGGAATTTTTCCAATGTTTTTTTTTTAGAGTTTGCTGCACTTTGACCATCAATACGCAAAGAAAAAAAAGGTGTCTCTATATAATTCAATTTCAATCTCACATTTTTTTCAACAATGCAACTCATAAGGTGCCATGAATGTGCAAATGACAGTAAAATACAGTAGTATACATGTATATGCATTGAAGTTTGTGACAAATCTTCATAACATAAGATTCAATTGAAAACAGACCCAATGACAATAGTTTCAGCACCAAGGAGAAAACCATATCGCTGAAACAAAGGGTTAACGAAATTATGCTAATTAGCCTTTATGCACCCTCTGATTGACAGCTTGGGGAATCGACTATCACACATCAGTTGAAAACCTTATTAGGACGGCATCCAGGCTAAAAATTAACCACATTTGCATCGACGTGTATGAGTGAAGAAAGACTCGGCATGGTATTCAAGCTTGGCTAGCGTTCCCAATATGTCAGCTATACTTGGGAAAGCAGATTCAATGACATTTTACAAATAGTTGCCAAATGCAAAAGGGTATTCAACATTAACTGCTGACATTTATCTGCTGCATTGATAAAACGAGCCACTTAAAAATATCAAGTGCCCCAGTATATCACAATTCCTCTTGAGCAAAAAGACGATTTGTAACCCTCAAGAGGATGGTTTGTGAAGAAAAATCATTGCATCCTTATAAATGATTGTTCATTTTTATAACATCAAAGCTTTTAATAAGTCTCATACCTCTTTCACTTCGAGCATGATGAAGCTCTTCCTGTAGTCTTTGGATCTGAGTCAGTAAAACTGGGTGGGAGAAGGCATCCATCTGTAGAACCAGGAAAACAATACTTTTGATTTAAAAGAATTCAAAGCAATGCAGGTGTCAAATACATGTATATAGCACAAGTTACTAAAATGTAGGCGACTTATTGCTTACTACATTGTTTCTTTCAGTTCATTTGAAGAAGACTTTAAATAAAAATGTTGGATGAGGATGCAGTTGGAATCTGAAGATGGCACACACTTCTCGCTTTTTTTGGTAGAAAGAAAAAGGAGTCTCCATACAATTAAATTTCAATTCAAACATATTTCAACTATGTAATTCAGTCAGAAGGTGCCATGTGCCAATGACGTTAAAAACAGTCGTATATGCACTGAAGTTTGGCACAAATTTTCATGACATAAGATTCTAGTCAAAACAGACCTCAAACAAAACTCACCTCCTCTGTAAGATACTTGACCAGGACAGCCATGGCATCGAAGCCCGTCATTCCTTCCTTCAGCTGCATCTTGGTGAGGTTCAGCTCCTTGGTCCGCGCCTCACAGAGTGCCTCTAATCTGGCGATCTCCTTGGAGCTCTTGCTTGGAGTGACGCTGTTGGAGGCGACTAAGTCTGGCTGGCTGGCTTTGGTGGGAGGCGGGGACACCGGCCCTTTGATTCTGCTTCCTCTGGTCTCTGTTAACAAGGCACAAAACACCATCAGAAAAACCCACACTATTAAACATATCGGGATGAAATCCCAGAGCACAAACATGCTCCTCCAATCATATGCCGCCAACAAAAACCGTACATGGACGAAAATACCTTAATTTCAATTTTCCAGCTTTAAATGCTTCATCTGAGACTCTGCCTCTAGACTGCTCACACAATTATCAGCTCGCAGGAGTGAACATGACCAAGGATGGAAAGACGGACTTTGCGCACCAACAAGAGTAGTGGGTGGGGAACACTGAACATGAACAGCTATCCCTGCATATGGTACACAGATGTACTTGTCTTGCCTCCCCACCTGCACAGGATCTTTTTCAACACGGCTACCTTCCGTGTCCAATTTTATGCAAGACCAAGGGTCTGAGGTACTTATCAGTTGGAGTGGAAAATTGTCCCTTGGAAGACAAGGGCGTTCCTTGGGACAAATTGCAATTTTGTGGCGGGTTCCCATTATCATGGCAATGAGGCTTAAATGTTAATAATGTGAGGCATTCTGGAATGTTCACATAAGCAGAATGTCTGCATTTAGCCTTGTGTTATCATCACACAGAAAGATTCACTGTTTTCAAACAGGAAAAGCTGTCCCAAGATGATAAACAATATAGAAGACTAGACTTGATTCTGAATAATAATTCATGGAAGGATACAAAATATTCTGATGTAACAGTAGCTACAGACATTACATTGTGTCTATCATTTTCAAAATGATATCAACTATCATTGTACCACTTTTTTCTTTATGTTACCAGATCTACTACATGTATCTAATATTACTAAAACTATGCTCAAATATACCAAACACTGCTGGCAGCTAGTCTTAAAACCCCTGTCTCCCTTGGGTATCACTACGTGGACAGTAATGTTCTAATGGATATATTGATTTTGTTTTCCTTGAGCTGCAGAAAGGCCCTGTGACAGATGAAGTGAGATCGAGTGGGTCAGGTGGAACCAGGGATGGGGGCGTCTTTCCCAACCACGTGGAACAAAACAGAAGTGGCCTCTGCCAAGTCAATTATGCAAATTGTGTTTTGTTCAAACAAGCTAATGCACAGGGCATTTGACTGGACGATTTAGAGCACACTTAGCAGTGATGGAAAAAAACTTTCACTATTTATTTTGTCAAAACCAGGCTTTCTACAAAGCACACAAATACAGATAGATTACCATGCCCTAGTCACGGACTTGGCATGATACTTTTGAATCAAAATATACATAAATCCTGTTTCTTTTCAATCTAGTTGTACCTGTACAGTGTACACTTGGTGGCCACATTAGAAATGGCATTGCACAATGCAGCTGGATACTAACTAATGTATGTACCTGTATAATATGCTAACTTTCTAGTGTGTTATAACAATAAGTTACACCAAGACGGAGGGTTCCTATCACTTTAACATAGACGCACATTCCCACTCAGCAGTCTAGAAAATTAAACTTCCCACAGTGCATTTCACACAGCTGCCCAAAGATCTGTCAGATTTGAACAACTAAGGATTTGGCTAATTCTGCTTTTCCTGCTCATCTAGGGCGAAATTTGAATTTTGACAGCAAGAAATCCTTTAATCACAGATGAGAATTACGATAGCTTCATGTGTGTATAATCAGCTTATCTGGATAGGATCACATTCTAAACCCCACACAAAGCTGAAATATCCCCTATGAAAGTTCTATCTACCTCTCAAGGGATGGAAGACCTGTCAAATACATCTAGTTACTGATTAACCAGACAATTGCCCAAACACAGATGGCTTTAATCAGTGTATAGAGGTGAAAGTTCTAAACAATAAAAAATTGACTATTGAAATGCAATTCTATTCTAATAATGCTGCAGAGGAGTGATCAATGTCCCTCAAAGCTATCTCCTTATTCCATCCAGGAGTGGAGTTTGAATTGTTTATAAGCATCATTATAAGCAAGTTCTAAACTAAAAAAAAATTCTAATTATAATTCTAGTGATGCTGAAGAAGAGCAATGCATGTCCCTCAAAGTGATCTCCTTATTTCATCCAGGAGTTTGAATTGGCTATAAGCATTGTTTACCTGGATGTCTAACCATCATCAACATAATATTGATTTTATAATTTGAATTACTACTGACTGACCTATGAAACCAAAGTATACATTGAAAACCCATGATCATTGATTTCCAATTCCACCCATCTGTAGTGTTTATCTAATACAATTGGACATGGAATCCAAAATTCTTTAAAACATATGCTTTCATTCATTTATGTATCATGACAATAATTATCACACATGCTAGTCACGTTGTATTAGTAGCTTGAAGTGAATTGATGCAGCAGTGTAGTAGAGTGTTTATAATAGACGATATTTTCTATTCTAGACTTTTAATTACCCGGTTCATTAATTCTGGTCATGCTAGACAGAGCCTATCTTCACAACACAGCTGGGGGGAAATTTATTCCTCTGCGGTGTGTGACGTATCACCCACCAACATAACATTGCATAAATCAAATCAAATTTCAACCAATCAGAAGTGATCAATCCCTAACTGACATGGTTAAATGTCCTTTCTATAACTTAGTATAAGAATATTGATACAAAAGTATCTGTGCAGTTTTGAACATTCATTTACAAGATTATTTTTTGTATTACTGATATATTCCCATTCATAACATCACCAGATTTAATTCTTGAAAAATTAATATTTATGTAGCCATGCTGGAAATTGGGAATGAATTATTCAAAATACATTACATGGTATGGAGATTTACATGTATGAGGGTTTAAAGTACAGGATTCGTCAATTACTTTTCGTGTAGTGTGCCATTTACTTAAAGGTAGTTGATCACCAGCATTCAGCAAATGTAGGTTTGTTGTGGTCACTGTAAGAAGAATTTTCTAAAAAAATCTTCAAACCTTTTTTCAGAAGATAGATTAAACAACTTTTCATAAATGTATATACAAGTCATACAGCTAATATTCTATACCCTTGAAAATGTCCTACTCCCCCTGTGCACTCTGAAACCTTTGACAGACAACTTACGATGATGCATGCTGTACTACGTGTGCGTCATACTAATGGTATGTTACTCAAAATACCCCAGATTCCCTATAGTACATCTGGTGACAGCATGTCTGGGCCATTGGAACTTATCTCTCCATGGATGCTCAGCTATATACATCATTATGTGCTTTCTGGCTGGGGAAAAAGCAGTCACTCACAGACTGAATATATTATAACATTATCACAGATCTTGAAAGTAATAAATTGCCTTCTGGTCTCATTCATGTTGACATCATAATTTCTTCTATTTCAAATACAGGGATCAAAGTACCAAGAATGTACCAACCACCAAAGTAAATATATTTTCATTTCAAATTAAAGGAAAAAGCATATGAATAAACAACCTTACAATTTGGCATGCCAAAGGGGAACTGGTTCGGAATTATAAATCAGATTTTTTTAAAAACATTTCGGGCCCTTAAGTACCTGGGAAGTGATGTACACCAAAATGTGAACGAAATCTGGTGGACATCAAAATTCATGTCATTTACTTTTTACTCATGATTTAGTTGTAATACTATGACACAGGAGCCCACAATATCTATTTTTGGTCTGAACATAGCCCCAAAGAATCCTAAAAAAAATAAATCATTCTAATCATGAACTAAATATAGCATATAACAAATGTAGGTTAATGATTAATTTGACCCTTCAGATGTAATATACTGAGATAAAGTTATCTGTCTACCCAGTGGTAACACAACAGGGACCTGGCCTGCTTAAGCTAGTAATGCGGCACAGTTAAATGATGGGGTCCAACAATCAGTTGGCCACGGTTGTATCTGTAAAAGCTGATAAGCCACTGCTATTGTTCAAACTTCCGGCCATCTGTTTGTGAGAACTTAGGGACCACATAATTCAAAACTTCCTTTGATAGAGCATTACCAGAAAATGCTCTGAACTACTGTTTGATCTCGGCTAAAACATTTTGCACAAGATTGTATATGAAACATTGAAAGGAAAAAAACACAGACTAGAGAGAACAAAGAAAATATTCAAATAATGTAGCCACCTGTATGGGTCAGTAAATTTCTCTGTGCGTTAACATGGGGCACTGAACGATATTCTAGTACCAACTGACCTTGGTGAATCCCAGCACTATAGCAGTGTGCAAATTAGATTGGCAAATATCTGCACTCTCCAAAATCAAATCAGACTTTCTCTGAAGCTATTTAGGTCATAGTGCAGAAACTGATCACTGGCACCTATATATTCACATAATGTTGTATGATATTTGTATGCAGCAATATCTACATGAATGTGCACAAAATACAATATTATAACACTTTGCTTTGATACCTTCTTCCATCTATACGTTGTCAACATGTATTTTCCAAATATAATCACAAGATGGACAGTTGTACTACAGAGCAGTATGCAAAGTCAAATATTCAATAAAACTGACATGACCTTTCAAATACCAAGAGAATCATCACAGACATACTAAACATATATACCCGAAGCCAGGACTATAAATGATGTCAGCTAAACTACATAAAATAATATGTGAAAAGAACAATTTTTATCAGTAATGTATTTCCAGTACTAACCATAGATGACTTGCTTATGCAGTTTACGCAGGAGCCCCTTTGCTGCTAGACGCAGGTGCATTCCTGCCAGCGAGAAATTAGGCCTCCATAACATGGTTCCATGCAGCAGGCAAACCCCAAACAAGGTACGCTGACGCTCTCCTTTGCAGACGCTGAACAAGTACACCACCACGGGTCTAATTCACTGATTGCTGCCAACAATTTGTAACCGGGATGTGGTGCCAAAACGCTTCTACAACTGACGCAGAGTGGGAAACCTGATTACGACGGGAACGGGATTGTATGGGAAACTGGGATGCCATCAACGGTCGGTCTTTCACGTGGCTTGACCTCTTTACCTCTAGTATTGACACATGCTCAGCTGACAGTTTGGGGAAAAATCATCATTATGCAGACCTGACGCAAGCCTGTCTGCATATCAATATGCTGAATAAATAATGGTGGAAGATCTAGTAATCCATAATCAAAACATAGGCCGTTAGACTTAAGTATGATTTTACTACTAACGCATCTCGTAGTCATCTACAGACCCGGAGTTACATGCCTCAAGATTCAGGTTAATTACACTCATATATTAAGGCAGCAAGCTTAGAGAAGTATAGAGTATTATCCAACACTATGACAACATATCAAGCAGGTTTCTATTTTCCCCTGATATAATTCAGTCAAAAAAACGTCACGCTCTTTCCTGCACATCCATTCAGTGGCTATTCTCCTGGGAGGGGCCCTATTATGGAGAGGCTCCCCAGTCACCATTGGCCAACCTTTCATCTTCGCTAAGCCTTATGGCATTGCCATTCATTATCTACGCCTGTGAGTAACGGCCATGAATTATTCAAAATGCCAGCAGCAGGACAACGTAATGTGATGTTGGGCTATTCCAGAGCTCACATTATGTTTGACGAGGACCAAAATACCTACATAATGTATATCACAGTCTTATATAATATAACCAAAGTGTCAATAAGTGTCAATATAACTGACCTCATCGGAATTGCCATAATGATTGTTTTTTTTAGTGGCATGCAATAAATACCATAAGTGTACCGATTTATAATTTTGTGCCCAGGATTGGGGCTATCACGGACCTCAAATTATGCTTGACAAGGACTAAAATACGTACACTGTATATCACATGCCTATAGAATATATTATCTAGATCTGAAATGTTAAGCATCAATGAAAAATTTCTCATAGTCAATTTACATCATAGAGATCACCATGTTGGGGTATTCCTGACCTGAAATTATGCTTGAAGAGAACCATGTAATACGTATATCACATGCTTATAGAATAATACTATATCAACTGAAATATTAAGTGTCAATGAAAAATTTCTCATATAGTCATAGTCAAAACATCGTGGAGATTGGCATTGTTTCATACACATCAATGGCAATACATATCTGATCCATTCTACAGATTTGTAATTTTACATCCAGAATTGGGGCATCCTGCATCATGTGTAGGACATTTTTATTGACAACTGTAATACTGATGAATGCTGAAGGTGAATGGGGGTTAATGAGTGCTGATGACTGTGTTTCGTCTTTCATGTTAATGACAGGAGAGCATCGGACTTGAATACAAAATCGGGTACCAATCCAGGGCTGGAAATTCAGTTTTTGGGAATAGGTGCACTGGTGCACCCAACCAAAAAAATTGGGTGGCTGCACAAAACTTTTTTGGGTGTACCATAATAAAATAAAATAAAGTAGAATATCAGCAAAAACTAATAATCATTGTTTCATTTCTAAAGACAAGAGTTCCAAGATCTCATACCTTCGCCAATTATGTTAACCCTTGCGGGTGACGAATTATACAATTTTGATCATTGATTTTGTAAATAAGAGCCTCATTTGCATGGATTATATCAGTTGATCATATTCTCCATCCAATGACGGCCTTATCATAACAAAAAGGCTATTATAGCACTCCCTCATAAATTATGCAAATGAGGTCATTATTTGAATAAATTATGTTTATTGATGTTCACCTTAACTTAACTTCCAAATGTGGCAAGCATGAAATTCGGGGTGCAGCAGTAACTATGGAATCATAAAAATTTTCCATTTATTATGCAAATTAGGTCCTCATTTACATTATCTATATCCTCAGATGTTTTTCTCGTTCTCAAGTAGATGTTACAAGTGTTTCATAATTCTATTATTGAACAAAGCAGATTTATAGAATTTCTTCATTAATTATGCAAATTAAGTCCTGATTTGCATAATTGCCATCTGATTATGTCAAGCATCACCTCAACTACCTACATACACAAAATCACGACAATACGTCAACCGGTTCTTGAGTTATCGTCCTTCGATTTTTTTTCAACAAATGCTCCTGCAGTTCCAGAACAAGGCGCTAGGGGACCCAAACTCATGTCACTTCTTCTCTATCCCAAGAGCTATCTTCCATCCAAAATTCGTGACCCTAGCATGTCCAGATCACGAGATATCAAAACCGGAAGTTCTGCTGCAGTACCTAGGAAAGCCGCCAGGGGGCCCAAAATCTAATCATTTCTAGGTCTCATGAAGACCTACCCACCTACCAAGTTTCATTCCAATCCATCCACTGCTTCTTGAGTTATCTTGCTAAATTACACACACACACACACACACACAGACAAACGCTACTGAAAACATAACCTTCTTGGCGAAGGTAAAAAGCACTACAACAATGATTTTTTTATTTTTCTGACACTTACTAGATGTTAAGAATATGCTGTATACTAATGTAACAGCTAACTGTACATTTAACATCTTTACATAAGTAAACCTAAAAAAAAAATATGTGGTTGCACTGCTGCACCACAGAAAAAAAAAGGAGCACAGCTCAAACTTTGGGTGCACTAAGTCAAGGTAATATGACTAAGGTGCACATGTACCCAGTATTTCAAGCCCTGGGCACCAATCTAAGCTGCCCCTGTGTTGCCATTATTAAATCCATCCATCACCCAAATGTGCCATGCTACACGCAGCCGGCTTTTTAAGCTGCAGTCGATAAAAACAAACATTTCGTAGGGTTATCACGCTGTAAGTCTTATTGATTTATCTCAGCTATGCTCCTAGGTTTATTCATTGGAAGGCTCAAGAAGGAACTGTGGATCATAGACAGGGCTCGAAATACTGGGTGAACGTGCACCTTAGTGCACCCAATTTTTTCTGTAGGTGCACCAGTGCGCCCAAATATTTTTGTAGGTTTACACATGTGTTAAAGATGTTAAGCGTATAGTAGTATATACAGCATATTCTAAGTGTAAGAAAAAAATCATTGTTATACAGCACTTTTCTTTAGAAATGAAACAAAGTTTTTGCTGACATTCTACTTATTTTATCTTATATGGTGCACCTAAATAAAATATTTCTTGTGCACCCAATATTTTAGGTTGGGTGAACCAGTGCATCTATTCCCAAAAATGAATTTCGATCCCTGATGAATTATGACCTAAATGCAAATCCTCCCCATGTACACAGTCATGTATTACGTAATGCTGGACATAGTGTGACATTTTAGACATATTTAATGACATGCCCCAATTTCTTTACATTCCAAATGAAGACATAGAAATAACAAGGATTGATTCCAACATAAACATGGCTTAAGTCCGGTAAACCTAATAGTTATGGATTTAGTGGTAGCTTGTAATTTTACATCATACATGATCAACATTTCTACATAAAAATTTGTGTAAGAATAAAAAATTAGTCTCTGTGTATTTCATCATATTGCAGGGGAAATTAGAACATAATTTTTTTGTTGGAAAATCTGTTACTCCCTAATATTCATACTCTAAGCTACCTTTCTGACAAGGAAAAAATGCAGTAAATGCAACTGCACCCTTTTCTTAACAACTCGTATATCCCAAAGATTGATAACAAACTGTACTACGACAATCTATCTTACCTCTGAGGAACCTTGCAATGCCTGTACGATCCCAAATGAAATGTTCTGAAAACATGACTGTCAAAACTGACCTCACCAAACCATCACCTAAAGCATGCCAGATTCTTGTCATGTACATGCACGATGCTTCTACCACCAACAGAGACAGAAGACAAGAGAAAGAGACACACTTGACCAAAGCGACCAGTCTTGGCAACTTCCCACTTCTGTCCCTGGTCTAATTCTGGTGTTGAGACACTTGTTGACACACGGAAGCTGACCACATACTAGGTAACATGCCTGCCACGGCCCACCCAGTTAGCCATGTGCACTGGCATCCATCTAAGTCAAGTAGACAGTAGTATACAGCTTTCTCTTTTCAAAGTATAATTCTTTACACTGCAATCAAAATTATAATGACCGGTATTTTCCTCAACAGTCAAATTATTTTTCTAGTTGAATCAACATGAAAGTCAATTACAAAAATGTTCCAGCACATACAGCTTTCAAATCCAATTTGCTTGATACATGTTACATTATTTTGAAATAGATGACAGCAGGATGCTTTGAGTTTGACGCCCTCAGTTTCTAGTCATACATATCATAATGCTGATGCCAACGAATGGTGCAATCATCACTCCATCTGCTAGGAGGAGCTGCTGATTACTAAATGAGACAATATAATAATATTGCAAAGGTGTACATTGGCAGAATGTACTGCACCTGTGTGAAACCCGTAATGTATTGTACTTTGGCAGAACGTCTTATATAAGGTTGTATTTGCCTATCTAAGGTTGACTCTCTGTCTATAGTTTTCAAATGTGATGTCGGGAAAGATATCCTCTGCAACAGGCAAAATTCTAATGCAATGTTGACCAAAAATCCAACAAAAATTGTGAAAAATCAGGGATTCACACAGGCACAATACGTTCTGCCAACGTGCTTGAGAATACAGTATTGTAAAGGTGCCAGCCTTACCATTTGTTTTGCCCTCATGGTGGGCCCGAGTAGCAGGTGAGGGGGGGACAGGCAGGACCCTCTTGGGACTCGGGGACACGGTGGCAGAAGTCTTACTCTCTCCTCCCCTCTTCACACCTGTAACACAGTACCATAATGTAGTTATTTATTACACAAAATGAAATACAGTACATACGAAAAATGAAACAACTGAGATGTAAGATGTTAGTGTCCAATGCCTTTAGTATGAAAGCTATTCTGTCATATTAAGATGGACAATTAAATCAGTGAAGGTTAGACATCCAGGAAATAAGATATGCCAAAAAAACAGTTACTCAAGCAACTAGATATGATTTTGGAAATGTCAGACATTTCAGGTAGCATCTAAATTTCAAAAATCATGTTCAGTTGCTTGAGTAACTGTTTTTTGGCATATGAATGATTAAGTTAGTATTAATAGATTAGAATCATACATGCCAATATTCCTTTCCTGAATTTTAAAAACTGCAACAGTTATGTACTGCCTTTAACTGAACAGAGGGACTGTACAGCAAGCATGGTAAAGAACAATCCTACCTAAAGAAAAAGACTGCGAGATTCTCTGGAAGGAAAACATTGGTCCAAATCGCTTGCTCCGTGGGATTACACGTTGCACAGGACTTTGCTGTGCCCCTGTCACTTGCCCCCATGCTTTATGACCAATGGTTTAAACCACTTTCATCCCCCCAATTGATATTGAGGTGAGCGGCCACGTGACCACAGCTGCACATGTCAGAATATGACGGCTGATTGGAAAAGTGATAAAGCAGTGATGTGGAAACCCTTTGTACAAGCAGCTCTGGAGATTGTCCAAATTGACAATTAGCTACTTGTCTGGCTGAAGAAAAATATTCCCTTGAAACCAACCTTTGGGGTAGATCTGTACTCTCTAACTAAGGACTATGTCCTAGGGATGCACTGTTTATGGCATTAAATAACCATAAATCTTTGGCCCTCATAAAGAACAAGACCTTTTAGTAGATTAGTACACATATCTACAGCATGGAGAAGAGTGGTTAGCCCATTTTATTACTGTACTGACAGATATTGCATTAATTCAGTCAAAATGCAGAACAAAGCTTTCGTAAAACTGTCACTGAACATTTGCTGACACATCAAGACAAGGTCAGTTACTGATTGCCGCATTACACTTGCCGGTGACTGATACGAGATACAGGGGTCAAATATTCTGCATGAAGGTTGAAAATCAATAAGTTAATATAGGATAATACTGCAATGCCAAGGAAACGTACCGTTACTGACAAGGAAATTATCTAAGCTTCCCCATGGCCTTCTCTCTTAACGATGATATTTGGTACATAGGTCTCACAGATGTGATTTGTGGGCCTCTTGGTGGCTTTTCTTAGTACTGCAGCTAGAGAGGACCTTCCATTTTTATACCTTATGCTCTGGATATGCCATCGTCTTTATTTTTGGGGTAGCAGATATTTTGGGGGCATGGAAGAAGTGGTATATATTAGGGTCTCCTAGCAGGTAATTTAAGTGATATAAACCACGATTACAAAATATTGCTATAATGTTTTTGGGCACGTCAGCAGAACGTACTGCGCCTGTGCAAAACCCTGATTTTTTTAGGTTTCTGTTGAATGTTGCGTTGCATCAGTATTACCTTATATACATGTACTCCAATATGACCACATACGAGACGTTCTGCCAAAGTGCTATGCACAATACATTACGGGTTTCGCACAGGTGCAGTACGTTCTGCCAACGTGCTATGGTTTTGTACTCTGTCCCACTATCAATAACTATCTCACCTGAAGTTCCAGGCATGGGAGAGGGCCTGCAGCCTGGTGTGGGCAGGTAACGGCCCTGGGCCCGGCCGGCAACTGGAGGCACTTTGGTCGACCTGGCAGAGGGTTTGCTCAATGCTGCAACACACAAGAGAAGGGTAGTTTCAGTACTTTTAATCTTAACTCTATTACTTAGTAGGTTACATTGCTGCTACATGTGCTTATTGTTACTTCACCCGAAGGAAGTAAGGTAATACAACATGACATGTATTCTTGTGTGTGTGTGTGTGTGTGTGTGTGTGTGTGTGTGTGTGTGTGTGTGTGTGTGTGTGCATGCGTGCGTGCTCCTGCAATTCCAAATATACAAATGCAGACTGTATAGTGTCATACATCTTCAGTGCTGCTATTTTGTGTTTAAAATTGGAGGGTACAAAGCAGCATCAGTTTTCAGTTCCCCATCTGATTGCTGTGCTTTTCACAGTAGATATTCCTGTGTGCACTGTAAGATTTGCGACTCCCTTCCAGCAATACCCATACAGATCAGCATTTGCCTATACAATTAGTTCCAACCAAAGTTGATACAGTCATCCCAATTAATAATGCTGTCAATTATCAATATGAATTTTTGATTGATAGGTTCCTTAATTAACTAAATGATTGATTGAACAACGCCTGTTGAGTGAGGGATTGTCAGAGGACAGTATGACATCTGATTGAGACTATCTGTATCTGTATCAGTATAGCCCGGTATAACCACCCTTCGTCGTAACACACCTACTTTGCAGGCACGGGGCATGGCGGCAGCTAGCTATATCACACCGAACAACTTGTTACAATCAATCTTTGCACATTTAATTGCAGGAGTTGTTAAAAGCGTTCTTAGACTAGTGATGAGGCCCCAACTGTGCTTGGTGGCAACAAGTTCCACAGTTCTAGTTCTTGGATTATGCTTGCTGTAGTTAGATGTTTTGTCTTCCTTACCATCAGCCTTAGCCCGCTGTGCCCGTGCCTCCTCGTGTGAGTTGGAGAGTCTGGAGCTGGTGTTGGAGGTGACGGACAGGTCGGAGGTTGAGCTGTGCGTACTGGAGGTGCTCACTCTCCGCTTACTGTGCCCGTTCCGCGCAGAGTGTTGGATCTCAGCGTGCTTCCTGTTGGACGGCTTGTCTAGAAAAAAGGAAGTATACAGCAATGTTTAGAGTTAAAACTTAGATCCAACACAAATAAGTTGTCTCAACGAGAACTGCGTTGGACCAAAGGTTTTAACTCTAAACATGTAACTACTAACACAGATGAACTTCCATGAAAGTAAAAGCTATGTTATTGTAATGAATACTTGCAATCTAGGAATAATCACAGAGCATTGTATCTACAAGTACGTGCGGCAGAACGTACTGTACCTGTGCAAAATCCTGATTTTTCACGGTTTTCGTGGGTTTGAGGTCGACACTGCATCAAAATTTTGCCTTACCCTTACCTTACCTAGTCCCATCCTCATGTCTGAGGGTCCAGGACTATGATGGCAGATGATAGTTTTTTCGTCATAACATTTGGAAACTACAGACAGGATGTTAACCTTATATACGCGAATACAACCTTATATGAGAAGTTCTATGGAAGTGCTATGCACAATACACTACAGGTTTCAAGCAGGTGCAGTACGTTCTGCCGACGTGCTGTATCTACCACATACATTGTTGTAAAAAGTGAACTACATGTAAAAACAATTTCAGTATAACAAAGTGTAATCTTTGACATCAATGCTTCCCTAAAGCCCAAGGGATAAGGTGTTCTAGTTTGTGCAAATAAAATCAGGCAGTAAATCAAATAAACAGTAATAAAAGAACATGCATATCGTAAAGACTGGTAATGAAATACATTGTGCCAGTTATGCAGAGAGTGGATTAAGCAAGCTCTCCTGTGAACATGTAAAGATATTTGAATAATTAAATCTTTGTTTTCAACTCAAACTCCTGTTAATATCTAATGTAGAATGCATACCAAACACAACTGTGTGTGCAAATGGCATAGACACATTTGCCTTGAGGATTGAACAGTAGTGAATAACAACAAAGATGCAATGTGTAGAATAAGATGCCAGAAACGAACAAAGTGATGCTTGAAGTTGAAACCACCCCTACCTGTTTCTTCAACATGGTGTGAGACTGAGAGAGCTACAATGGTTTAGAGATTGGCAGAGAAAAGAACAAGAAAAATTACTCTTCTCGTTGTCAAAGTGTGATTATTGAAATGAATTTCGAGTTACAACAAAATGAAATGACCAAAGAAATAAGTAATAAATACTGCGTCCAAAAGTCCCATCGGAGGTAGGGAAAGAAAAGTGAAGACTACAACATGGATATATTAGTAGAAAGCTTACTTGTGAGAGTAGCTTTTTCTGGGTAGTACTAGAGGGAGGAACTTTCTTCTGAGAAGAAGAGGGGTGAGAGGTGGATGGAACAGAGGCAGGTCGAGCGCTAGCCTTGGTTTCTGCCTTGTTTGTGTTCGTCCGCACTCCAGATTTCTCATCTTTGTCTAGGTTGTTAGAAGAGGAGGAAGACATTATGGTAAAGACACAACACACAAACACAAAGGAAACTATAGATTGTGTTAAACATTTAACATCAGATAATTTATAGATCCACTTTGAGGTAGAGCATGTATATTGGCAACCAAACTGCTACTTTATGTAACCACAAAAGGTTCTGAAGAAAAAAATTTACACTTGACAAAATTTTGAGAAAATGCTATTGAAAAATGAGTAGCAAAAAAAAGGAAATTCAGGACCACGTCCTAAAAATTTTAATAGGTGCAATATATCCCAAAGTGGATCAAATTTACAAAGTAAAGGGATGGGTCTACTAAGCTATTGGTGTACAGGAGATGTTGTACGTACATGTGTAAGCATTCAAAGGAGCATATAACACAGTAGCAGACAACATAATGCATTAAGGTGTGAGAATTATGATAAGCAATAGCTGATAATGCAAGGTATGCATGAAGTCAAGGAGCACAGGCAGTTTGGAGGCAACAAAAAAATGGAGACAGCCACACAACAGAGATTAAAAACAAACCCCAAAATGTACATGTAAAGTTAGGCAGAATCACGGCAAGCGATGCCAACCCACAAGCTGTCTGGAGACTTTCCTCCTCAGATCCAGACATTAAGTGCTGAGCATTTAAAGCACTTCTTCTCACATCAAGAAGCAGAACATGTGCAGTTTTGGAAACATCTGGCAACACTGGCCAAGCAGAAAAAGAAACAACAGGCAGGCATATTGCTTTCTTGACTGCAAGCGATTCAAGTTACAAAGAAAAGACAGGACAGGATAGCATGTCTAAAACTAGGACAAAGCCGACTGTATTCAACACGTTGTAAATTATTGAGGAAGTTGCTTATAAATAATGCATCCAGTTTCATCCTCTGATCTTTCCTCCACACGCACACACACCACGCCAGCAAAGATTCCAAAGGGGTTCTCCATAATTATATATTGTACCATTTTTCTTCAGGTAACGTTTCTTTGCCTCAGTGAGAATGGCTTTGATTCTTAGTTCGTTTGTAAAGAGTGCTGAAAGACAGACAGAAAAGTAGGAACCATACGGTGAGGACACAGAAAACACTGAAAACAAGGTAACAAAAACCCAGAACCTTCGACATAAAGGAAAAATAGGTAATAAGACTTTAAAAGGATGGAAGACTCATAATGAGCAACAGATAAAGCACATCTTACTTGCAGTTTTGGACCTCTTTCTGACAATCTTTTCCAGAAAGTATGCTTTGAGAAATTGGCGGTCCCCTGAGACATAGACAGCACACACACACATACAGGTGCAGCGTTAGGTGAAAGCTCCAAAGCAATTGGGTTGACAGGGATGGCTTCAAATTGACGGGGGGTTGAAAAGTGAGTCAATCTAATCTGCAATTCTTTCATGTAACGTTACAGGAATAAAAAAACAAGGGAAAAGAAAATGGTGACTGTTACAAGAAATCTTGGAGTTTAGATGCTAAAACAATTATTTGGGAAGTTTTGCCAAGTTTTGTTAAACGCAATTTACTTTGTTTTAAAAAGGGATCAAAGTTGTTTTTGTGGACTCACTCCAACACCAACATTTGAAGTCTGGCATGTACACTGTGTATGGTGGCATGTGAGGGTCAAGATGCAAAGTGAAAGAGATCTGGCGCTTACTTGAACCACAGATAAGTTTTAAGAGATTCTTTCGCATGGAATGTTTCTTGAGTTTGAGACGTCCATAAAGAATCTGTCCTGTTAGAAAGAGAGATGAGACAAGAGATAGAGAGGCTAGAATCACAGACACATGATAGACATGCAAGCAGAAGTATTATAACATCTTGGTCTCGGTCACAAATGATATGGGAGGCACCACAGTGTCTAGTGTGTATCACATAGCCTGACAACACAAATTAGTCTCTCACATAGATCATACTGATGATAATCTTGTATGAAACACACAATGCTGTGATCTAAACCTCAAAGATCTTGATTTTATTTTGGTCAGCAAAAGGGCACCTACTTAACATTAATACCCAGCTTCAGAGTACTAATACTATCATATAAGGATGTGCTATTTAATCTAGTGTAGATCAGCTACAAGAGAAGCTCTTTTAATTTGTCCAAGATTTTTTTTTTCAAATTACAGGATTCATGCATATTGAGGTCTAGATGTGCTTGGTCAAGAAAGTCCTGAAAATCCACAAGGAAATTGGATAAGTAGCATTGTAGCTAAGCATATTTCAAAATACATTGTAGATGTAAAAACCTAAAATATGTATTTATTTGGTATCTGTTCTTTATACAACACAGAATGCTATCATCATTTTACAAGATAGACAGAAGCAAAAATGACTTTTACTTTATATTTCACTTATAATCAGAAAAACTTTATAATTATGTTTTAATAACATATCATTCTTGGTGTTGGCTGATATTTCAAGCATATTCTCTCCTTTGCCCTTCAGTAGGACAGAGCTACAGAGAATTACATCATGCATACATTATAACAGACAAGACTAATGCTTCTATTAGCTGCCATTACAGCATCCTGCCATAACCACTGCTGGGTACAAGCTGCTTATAGCTGCACTGTCAAGCCTAGGAAGCAGAAAAGCCTGATTAGTGTGTTTTTGTCATCGCCCTGGCAGACTTAATGCAATGCGCTGAAAGGATTAGCTGGTTATAGCGTGGGATCGGCGTGGGGTCTCGTGATGTACCTACTTGAGGGAATAATTCTCAGTTGTACTCGCTTCTTACTGTCGCTTTGAGGCTGGCCTGGAAGGGAAGATTAGACATGAAACCTGTTTCTAATGGCATTTCTGGAGTCCCACTGTGGACATAACTTAAGACTGTGTCATGCACGCCAATAACCCGTTTCTTTTAACATCCTGGCTGCATATTCAGGAAGAAAACATTAGCTAGGCACAAACATAAATGCATATAAAGAGAACATTCTTAGTAATGGTTATCAAGTTGCACATCACAATGCATCATAACAACTTGCATGTAACGTTACATGTTTTAACTTTACCTGTACATACTTTGATGGTGTTTATTTTTTTAAACATGTTTGTATCACGTTACGTGTCTGTATACTATGGGCCGTCGAGCCTGAAATAAACAATTAATAAACATGTACCTCAATGATATGAATCATATATTTGTGTCACCTCAGGTACAAAAGAACGGCACTTACTTGCTGACTTCTCCTTAGCAGACACCGTCCCTTCATCCTTGCCCCCGTCAGACTTGGTGCTGGTGAGTGACGTGGAGCTGTCTCTCTTCTTCAGGCCCGTGTCGATCCTGGCAGCCACGCCCTTCAGCTGGCCCCGCGGGGACGACACGCTCCCGACACTCGCCGCCGAGCCTGGTCTCGGACTGCGGGTTGCACTGGTGGAGTTAGACCGGCTCCTGGTGCTGGTGGGAGTGCTCGTTCCCGATCTGTCGCTCCTAGGGGTGGAGGCAGACGGAGTGGAAGAAGCTCTCGGCTGTGCGGACGAGGAATGCTCCTTTGCGTTGCCATTGATATGTGTGCGTGAAGACATCCTCTTTGGTACGGGGCTGCCACTCACAGAGCTGGACCTGCTGGAGGCTCTGGACTGAGAGTTCTCCACGTTTTTTCTCTGCAGTTCACCGGAAGAAGAGAGCCTCTTCCTGACTGTTGGGCTGCTGGTGGCAGAGCTAGTTCCACTCGTTGATCTGCTGCTGAGATCTTTTGCTGCTCTTCTAACCTGCGGAGTGGTCGTAGCGGATCTTGTGCCAGGAGTTCTGGTGCTCCGGGTGGCTTGAGTGTCACTCTTGTCTGACACAGTTGAGGACAGTCTACGCCGTTGCGCTGGACTACTTGTTGAAGAACTTGAACTGGGCTGCTCTTTAGTTTTGTCCGGTGCTGCTCTCCTGTCTTGTGGAGAAGGACTTGCCCGAGGCGTGGGGCGTACCAACCCTACTTTGCTACTTGGTCCCATGGGCGTTTTGAAAGTGTTGGAAGGCGGCTGCGACTTGGCCTTTTCTGCAGGGTTGGATCCGGAGGAGTCGCTTTTGAAACGACTGCCCGGCGTGCCCTTGCTTTGCTGTGCGGCAGCATTTGCTTGATTCTTGTTACTACTAGTAGTGCGAGGCACTGCGAGTTTAGACACAAATTGTGTTGAAGCTTTTGCTGTGGTCTTCCTTGCATCAGCTGCCTTACTTACAGTCACACTTGCCCTTGCTGGTGCTTTTTGCTTGGTGCTTGTTGCGGTACGTGCTTTCTTAGCTTGAGATCCCTGAGAAATGGAAGATTTTGCGTCAGAACTGGACTGCGCTCTTGTCACCTGTTTCTTTTTTACATCCTTGCTACCCAAGTCCAGGGTCTTTGCAACGTCTTCTCCACTGATATGTTGATTGTCAGCAGCATGATCTATGATATCAGGCTCTAGTGTCCTAACTACGTCTGCAACAGTAAGGCTATCCTCTCCTTCCAGAGGATGGTCATGGTCAGTACCAAACGATGGAGACTCGGGCTCAATCCTGGAGAAAGTAAACTCCTTATGCTGGAAGGGTGTTGACGTTACTAAAGCTGTTGGGTCAAAAGTCTCGTCCAACTTTTCAAGTTCTAGTGCCGCAGGTCCAGCCCCAGTTCCAACAGCACCCTCTACTACTGCATCATCTGCCACAAAAGTTGCCTTTGCAGCTTCCTTTTCAGCACCAAGGACAGGAACATCCATTTCTACAATGTCATCAACCTCAAAGGTTTGGTCTGTCACTCTGGCAACTTTGTGTGGAGGTTCCTCCTCAGATGTTACAGTGCTCCCAGCTGCAATTTTATCCCCTTCCTCTTCCACCTTTCCATCCGATAACATGTCTATCTCCCGTGTCTGTGGCTCTACTACTCCCACTTCATCAGCCACAACATCTGTGCTGGCAGCTGCCTGTAATCCCACTGCACCAACACATACATCAGCACCACGGATAGGCTCACCTACATCTATATTTACATCCTGCTTGTCTCCATTGACTGCTGGTTTGGGAGATTCATCATCTTTCACTGGTTGAAAAGCACCTAGAGGATTTACCTCCTTCTCTACAGATAACTCCACGGGTTTCTCCACATCTATGGAAGACGCCATCTGTTCTGTTACACTGGCCTCCTCCATAACCTCTGTGGCTGATATGTCTTCAGGTGGAATAAATTCTACTTGGGAGGCAGCAACAGGCACTACTTCCTGTTTAGCTTCAGATAAATCTTCTACTTGAGATGTATCTTCTACCACATCTTTCCCCTTGCTTACTCCCACAGTTTCTGTGATCTTTGGCCCAGCCTCATCCTCCAGTGACAATTCATCACTGGTAGGACTTTCCCTCAGTGAGACGGGAGGTTTATCTGCCTGGGCTGCTCCCGAATCCAGATCTGTGGATATGGTATTCCCAGAAGATAGGTCATTACTGGTGGGGCTTTCTCTCTCCGACTCTGGCAGTCTCTCCACTTGGGCGTGATCTGATGTAGACTCAGAGCTATCTTCACCCTCTTCAAGAGGCTCTGTAACCTGAATGGTGATTGTACTGGGCTCTGCAGCCTCACTGTGCTGGCTTTCATCTGTGGGCTGTTTGGTTTCTGTTTGGGTGGGTCCCAACGCTTGCACCAAAGGCATGGTCATGTTGTTGACGCCCTCAGCAGCTTGAGGGTTTGGGGCACCATCGGTTACAGCGATGGGGTTAACACTAGTGCTGACGTCTTCCTGCAGGAGGTTTTCACTGCTGACTTCTGGCAGCATGCTCAGCTCATCTAGACGGAGAATACTGTGATGGGGATCGTAGGAGATGTTATCCTCTGGCTGGGTAAATGTTCTATCAGCGACGGGACCCTTCTCACTGGCTGATACTACCTGTAGGATCACATCAGGAAATGGACTGATGATACCAGAAGCATCAACAGCTTGTTGTCTATGAGCACCAATTGCACTTTGAGCTTCTTTGATATTGGACGCTGCATCTTCTACATCCATTGACTCTGTTGCTGTATCTAGTACAAAGGTTGCATTATCTTTATTCCCACAACCCTGGTCTTGTTCTTCTAGAGAGTCTGGTGAATTATCCTGTCCTGATGAGGATGTGCCATACTCTGAAGATGCTCTACTAGGCAGCAGTGTCTGTGAAGGTCCCACCTCCTCTTCAGCAGTGTAAGTAGTGTTTGCATCTTTGGTAAATGTTCCGTCGTGTGAAGATGACGGCAGCGCCACTCCTGCCTGTCTATTCTGCAGTTCCTCTGGAGTAATGTCATCAATGGGTATCGCATCAGCTTCCATTGCCACAAATCCAGTCTGAACTGCTGTGGCCCCGTCTTGGTCTGCCTCTAAAGAGTCAATGGACTTACTGTCCTGAGACTCAGGAGTAGAACCATTAGTTATGTTTGAATGAACAGCGAGCTCTGCCTGGTCCCCAGAAGGTTGATGTTCCTCAGGCATGCCGTAAGTAATGTTTTGTCTATGAACTTCCATGTCTGAATCTTGCTGTTGTCCATCAGTGACATCCAGGACTTTTTCATCATCCAGTTCTGTTGGTAAATCCTCCTGGAGCACATTAGGAATCATCTCACCACTACCGTCCACAGTGGGAGGGCAGGTGGCCATCTCTGACCCGGGAGACCCAAGGGACTGGTGTAGTCTCTCTTCTGTGTCTAGCTGTATTTCCATGGTGTCAACATCAGCAACATTTATGTCGGCTTCAGCCCCTGAAGGATGGGTCTGTGCATGGGCCTCACCCTGTGCTGCTGTTGTTGTTGGAAGCTCAACATCTACATCATCAACTCTGTTGCTAGAGTCTATCTCAGTGTCTTGGGCAGCTGCCATTGCAGAACTGTTCTGTCCAGTTCTACCTAATTTATCTACAGTATCTTCTGGATTGTTGGAGACAGTTGTGAAGGTGGAGTCTAGAGTTACTGTTGTGTCTAGTGTTCGCTTTACTTCATCAGTTTCTCCCTTATATATGTTTGCTTCAGCATTAGACCAGGCAGGTGAGACATTTCTCTCCTGGATGGGAGATACCCTAGTTGCTTGGAACAGGCTTGTTTTACCTTTGCCGGCCCTTCCTGTCTTATCTTTGGCTTCAGAAGTGTTGCTATCAGCACTGTTGAGTGCCTGGGTTGTTGGGAAGACTGTGGCTATGGGTCCAGATGAGTAGATTGTCTGTCTAGGGTGCTGAAGGCTCCTTCCGTACTTTGGAAGAGCGAGCTTTGATGGGGGCTTTGGTGGCTTACCGTAGACTTTTGGCTCTGTTGTACCACATGCACCATCTAGCTCCACTTTAGATGCTGCTGCAAAGATGCCGTGTTTGTCTCTGCATTCGAAGTACTGCACGTCTTGAACCTTTCCATCATGGTTTCCAATGGGCTCATCCAGTTCAATACCACACCATTCCCCCTGACTGAAGTGCACTGTACCGATGTAGCTCAGCACACCACACTTTGCTCCTCCTATAGTTACCCTGTCCCCAAGCTTCAAGTTCTTTGTGGACTGACTAAGGACTGGTTCTTCTGTGGTGACGACTGTCGTACCCACTTTCTCCTCAACTGTTTTAGGCTTACTGCGCAAACTTGGAGGACTTCTCTTTGCAAAGTTTAGTGAAGGAATTCCTGATCTTCTCCTATCAACTTTGGCTTTCTTTGCAGCTTTTGATATCTGGTCAGCATCAGAAAGTTTCTCCCTTTGCACACTGTCTACCGCCACTTCATCCCCACTCAATACTGGCTTCTTTGGTATCTCTGCTGGGTTGGTAACCTGTGCAGACAGTTTGCCAGATGGTGGCTTTAGCCCTCTCTTTGGTCGTGATGGAAATGGTATTCCAGTTGGCTTTTTCTCTTCAGTGACTTTGCTTGGTGAGCTCCCCTCAGACTGCCCTTCTTTTAAGGCTGGTTCTGTTACAGGGAGAGGCTTTCGCTGTGGAAGGAAGGACCTCCGTCGAACGTTTGTTGGTATGCGGCTCTCTGCCTGGGTAGCCTGCAGAAACAGCAAACAGGATCAATATTAGTGCACCGCTACAGCCTTGCACATGTCATTCTAATCACTGTAGAGCCAGGACCATGTTCATTAGCACAATATCAAAGGAGTCAACTTACAAAGCTACATACAAAGATAGTTTAGATAACTCTGATTGACACTATACTAGAAGTTCTCACTCAAGCAAATGCTGTAAACTGTAAAATGTTCGCAGTAATTTTATTTTTGCAAATGTAATGAGCCCTCCATCACAAAATCATTATGATGTTTATCTGTGTTTCCATTCTAACTATTATTTACTACTGACTACTATAAAGTGTTTAAAGTTAAACCACAAACTTAAAACATCGCAAGAAGCTCCTTTCAAGTACATGTAAAATCAACTTCCTGGAAAAATACATGAATCCACAGTGTTGAGTCACGTACATCTTCTAACATTCAGCAGGGAGCTATGCGTGCAAGTCTCTCCAAGGAAATCAGAATCCATCCCTTTGATTCTTTACAGATCTATGGCTAAGGCTTAACGAGTGTGGAAAGGAGAAGGTCCTCGCATGAAACATGCATGTAACAGAAGCATACATGTTTCTGTAACAGAACATTAGTCTCAAAAGCCTCCATGAAACATTCTATGACTGCATTGCAAGAGAAAACTGCAGTAATGAAGCCACTTGGGTACACTAAAGCAGACATAAGAAGAAAGTTATAATACTCTAATACCACCATGGTATTTTAAAAAAAGTCAACTGTGACAATAGAAAGAAAACTGGTGAATATGTCGGTGAAGGTTAGACATCCAGGTACTAAGATATGCAAAAGAACAGTTACTAGTACTCAAGCAACTGGATATGATTTTGGAAACTGGATATGATTTCCAAAATCATATCCATTTGCTTGAGTAACTGTTTTTTGTCATAACCGGTAAATGTTATCTAATTTATTTAAGGCCACACCAATTTAATTTGTTGGTTCTCGGATTTTTTCAGGAAAAATATGAAGCGACAGGGCGAAAAAAAAATAAAAATAAAAACAGGTCTAGGCATCCTATTATAGCCCCAAATGCTACGATATGAGCCATGAAGTCAACCAAAAAGGCTGGGTTAAAATTTAAAGTATAAATTTTGAACTTTTAATCAAACCACTGCATTGATAGATGGAAAAAAAACTGTAACAACTAGGAAGAAAAGGAATTTCCTCAACTGTTGGGAGCAAAATATGAGCATTTTGACTTGATTCAGAACCAGAATCTTTTTTTTTTTTTTTTGCAAATCAGAAAAAAATGAAGAGGCGAATCCGAGAACCAACAAATTAAATTGGTGTGGCCTAAGGTTGAATAGTTGTTAGTCATATTCAAGTGGTAGATCCAGTACTTCAATGTTCCAGATGGTACAAACCTATACAATGCAGGTTTCCTATATAGCTAAGACAGTAATACCCCGGTATATGGACTTGCTGTAAGTTACATGTACATCTACACTAAAAAGATTATTGGTAGGCAGATAGAAATTATGATATTTATAAAATTTGATATTCAGACTAGACGTTTCTTAGTGGATAGCAGGGGGCAATATTAATATATTGTAATTATACCTGGATGATTTCTGATTGATCCTTAGAGAATAGTGATGTGCATGGAATTAAAACATCCTCCATACCCAGTGGTCTGGGTACAGCTGTCCATGAAACAATCTGGAATCCTGAGGGAACTGCCATCATGTGATAATTTATAAGGACCACACTTGGAAATAAATTAACAGAATGCTGCTGGAATTCAGGTGTCACGTAGCCTGGGTGCCATCCTATTTGTAAGCCAGAGCTCCTATGCTCAGTCCCTTAAAACATTTTCAGGAGTGAGTTTATAATGGGAGCCATAGTTTGCATTTGCACAAATAGGATGGAACCCAGACTAGGTATTACTATGCACAATTGTGTTCTTGTCACATAGAATTATTTTGAAAATTAATAAAAATGACTAAAATGGGTCACGTTAAGCCAATGAAATGTTTTGGACCTGCATTCTAAATCATAGGCCATCTCAAATACATACATATCAAATAGTAAATGTTTTATTCTGTAGCATGGAAAAATGATGGTGTTCCACTCCATTTATTGCATATTTTGACAAAAAGTCGCATTCTTAAACTACTAGTAATAAAATGCTATGTAGATTTGATAGGAGATATAAAGGTTTTTTATAGGATGCAGTTATGATTTATGACATTTTAAGATTACATCATTTCTTTTAGGCATGAATAAAACATGATGCTTCTCAAAGTGACATTTAAAAAGCAGGGGCTTGTATTTTTAAAATGCTGTTTACCTTGAACCTAAATTTCAGGTTCACATATTTTACACTATTTTACTGTTAAGGGCCTCGTAATTTTTATTGCAATGTTATGATTTAGATGCCCAACAGTTTACCCAGCAGAAAAACAAGTGCTGTTTTTGGTTATTACAATCATAAAATGTGATGCCTATAAATTTGAACATATTTTTCACGGCTGCTTGAATACTAGCACATCAAATATATCAGCAGTCATAACAAACAGGGCGATGTCCTCTTTTCTATTAAGAAAACATTCTTATATTTTGTACCATAAAGTCAACCAAAAGATATTGTATAATAGCATTCATCTCATTTACATATAATGAAGATTCTTGCCAATTAATGATCTTAATTAAACAGCTACATGTACCTTTTCAAGCACCACTGGCACAACCACCATCAACTGACATGTGCTATGGATCATGAATGTGCAGTGATGTACAAATACTATATTCTCTTGACCATGTACATGTATTGCTTATGCATGGACATTGATAAAAAGGCTCAGATAGTGGGAACACACCACACACATGTATAACTACTGTACATGTACATGTAGAACCACTTAGGGCCCCTACAAAATTTACAGCTTATTTCACATCTACCAGCAATATAATATGTGAGTACAGTTGGGTTAGACAACCACTAACATGATTTTCCTGGTGAAAATGGGATTCTGGAGCCTTAGTTATATCCAGGGTGACTGCAATTACACCACTTACCTTCCAATAGACAGGGAAATGAATATTTTATGCCCCTGCATGCAGCAGAGTAAGGCAGCTTGGATCAAATGACATGGCCATGGGATGAAATGCAAAATTGACCTTCCCGTCCAAGAAATAAGACTGCAGAGAAACCATTATATCAGGAACAAAGTAACCTATTACTTGCAATTGAGTTCTCCTTGATACTACCAAATACATGTAGGGTCTTCTGCATGCAGTAGAGTAAAGGCAGCTTGGATCAAATGACATGGCCATGGGATGAAATGCAAAATTGACCTTCCTTCCATTGAAATGAAACCAACATCTTTATCAAGACATCAGTGAAACCAATACACTAGTATCATGACTATAGAAACAAACCTATTACTTGAATTCTCCTTGATACTGCAGAGTAGAGTCTTCTGCATGCAGTAGAGTGGATCAAATGACATGGCCATGGGATGAAATACAAAATTGACCTTCCCACCACGGAAATGAAACATCTATATCCCATTCAAGAAATACATGTAAGACAGCAGAGAAACCAATGTATCAGGAATAGAATTTAGAAACAAACCTATTACTTGAGTTCTTCTTGATACTGCAGAATAGAGTCGCCTTCAACCTATCCAAGGGCCAATTGGGAATCATGAAATACAAAATTGACCTTTCTACCATGGAAACGAAACCAACGGTATCTGTATCCCATTCAAGAAATAAGACAGCAAGGAAACCTATATATCAGGAATAGAAACAAACCTTATACTTGAGTTTTCCTTGATGATACTGCAGAATATAGAATACTCCTTCGACCTACCCAAGGGCAAATAGACAGCCTTCACCTAGCGGTTCAAGGTAGATATCTTGTAAGGTGTCCCCTCCCACCTGGTTCAGCCAATGGAGTGATCCCTACTATCTACCGCCTCCGATCTTCTGGGCTATGAATGCGGAGGAATCGCTACCACACACGCTACGACGTCCTAACGGTCACGTGAGGGAGTGTGTGCGTTAAGGGAAGGCGGGGATGGATAGGGATGATCCCCTAGATACCGCCCAGTCACGTATCATTTGGGAAAAAGGTCAATTTGTTACCAGGGGCAACGGGTAATTTCTGCCGAGCAGTGAAAATAACCAGCATAAAAAGCACATTAAGAACTGCCATTATATATGTCATGACATGCTCCTTGTCAGCACATGAAAAATGTGCCCAGATTATCAGAGCGATTTTAATCACACACGCAAATGGGGCTGACACTAATACTCATGTAAGTGAAGGAGGAAGCCCTGCCCCTTTCTACAACATTAATATTTATTCCAGCAATTACGGTGGCATTCCAACTACCTTATTGTTGAAATACATGTATGTCACATTCTAGCATTTTTAAGGATTTTTGACAGGCCAATTTACTGCAAGCCTGAACACATACATGTAGTTCACAAATGCCACCTTAACACAATATCACCAGGCCATTGCCTTCCTGGCTACCGGTAGTAAAATTAAAACATTCAAGTGCACGACACACCAGCACATTTGGCCCCCCTGAGCTCACACGCCTTCCGGCATCATCACAGGACAATCAGAGGTAATAATAGGTACTTGACTTACTTTGTTTGGGGAATTCAGCCCTGTTCTGACAGCATAACACACAGCTGTGCCAGTCTCTCTCTGTTACGGCTAAAACACTCAGCTGAAGCCAAGAAGCTTGTAGTAATGCAGGGGTTTAAATGCGGGGTTGCCTCCTGCTGCAACCATTGATTTACATGTGTAATGAAGTGTTGCAGGTCTATAAAAACCTGGGGCGTACCATTCAGCAGCTAGTTTGGAAAGGGTCCGAATGACGCAGGTAGATCTTCTGAATAATGCAAGCTGAAGTGGACTAGTGTACATGCTTCAAGCCTTGTCAGTATGACTTACAAATGATTCAAAACACATAATAAACAGAAGAACAAACACTGTGATAAGTCATTTTTAG